GGGGGTACTGGGTATGGTGCTTTACCACTGAGCTACATCCTCAGAACTCCTGCCCACTTTTGTTTATTTGTGTGGTGCTGGGGATTGAACCCATGGCCTGTGCATGCGAGGCAAGCGCTCTACCAGCTGAGCTATAGCCCCAGCTGCAGATTTAGAGAAATAAAGAAATGCCTAGGAAAGGCAGAAGTTGTGGTGAAGGAGTAGGAGGCTGGAAGACAGTTTATGAAGGGGTGTGGTTGACAGTAACTATCAGGAGTAGCTGAGAAAAGCTCGCTGGGGCAGAGGATCCTGCCCAACCGCCCACTACAAAGGCAGAAATTATTACTCTCCCCCTGAGGTGTGCTTTTTCTATGGATTCTCTCAGCTTCGGAACATCTCATCCTTTTTAATTTCTATGACATGATCCACCCAATACTGCTAAAGTCATTGCAGTGCCTAGTGGAGAAGTTGCACAGCTCCTGGAAATAATGGTGGCCAAGTTTTACTTTAAACATAAAATAATTCTTTTCAAAGAGGAGTTGGACTTCAATGAGATACCACTTTGCACTCACTAGACTGTCTACTATGAAATGAAATTAAAATTTAAAACTGGGTTATCAGGGTTGATAAGGATGGAGAAAAACTAGAACCCTTATGTGCTTTTGGTGAAAATGAAAAATGGTGGAGCTGCTATGGGAACTGGTATGGAGGTTCCTCAACCCATTAAAAATAGAAATTACCATACAACCCAGCCATTCTACTTTGAGAATATATACCCCAGAGAATTTGGAATCAGGTGTCGGGAGCTGCCACATAGGAGCTGAACGCCCCCTAGCTTTGATTGATGGGAATGTAGAGATGTGGCAAGTCAGCCATGAGCTGTGTGTGTGTGAGCTGTGAGCATTTTGAACACATAAGTGGACTGGACTGAAGATGCAGCTCTGTCTGGGCTATACACAGATGTGTCCCTTTTGCTTGTTCTGCCTTTGATCATCACACAGCACATGAGATGGGTGTGGTCTTCCAAGATGTCAGTCAACCTGCTGACCTGGGAGATATCGAGAAGCTAGACTTGACCCCCTGAAACCTGACCCCTTGCTTCATCTGAATGGCTTCTCCCCAATAAAACTGGGTTTGAGGTATGCTCTTTCTCTTTCTTGCCTGCCTTAACTCCTTTGTGGGAGCTGGATCAGAAGAGCTGTCATAGAACCCACAGAAAAAGGTATTTCTGTGTCATTATTTCATGCCAGCCCAGTTCACCTGGAGTGACCCTGACTGGTTTAGTTGTTTGTCGTGTCAATCAGAGTCTTAAGGAGACATTTGTAGACCTCTGCTCATAGCAGAAAATATTTTCAATAGCTAAAATGTGGAAGAAGCCAATAATCCAGTGAATAGATAAACAAAATGTGGTATTTGTGTATGTGTGTGTGTGTGTGTATGGAGGTTATTATTCCCATATATACATAATGGAACATTATTCTGCCTTAAAAAGGAAGGACATTCTGACATAACTTACATGGATGAAATTTGAGGACATTATGCTAAGTGAAATCAGCCTGTAACCAAAAGCAAATAGTGTATGGTTCTGCTTATAGGAAGTACTTAGTGTACTCAAAATCATAGAGACAGAAAGTAGAATGGTGTTTGCCAGGAGCTGGGGGGCCAGGGGGAGAGGGAAACATGGAGTTATTAATCCATGGGTGTAGAGTTTCGGTTTTACAAGATGAAAAGTATCCTGGAGTTTGAAACATCTTCACCACCTCAAAAGGAAACTCCACACCCATTAGCCGTCACTCCCCATTTTCCAACCTTCAGTCCCTGGAATGCCTAATCTACTTTCTGACTCTATGGATTTGCCTATTTTGGACATTTCATATAAATGGGACCCTATAATCATGTTGTCCTGTTTGGTTTCTTTAACTTAGCATAATGTTTTCAAGCATCATTCATGCCCTAGCATGTCTAGGTATTTCATTCCTTTTTATGGCTAAATCATATCTCATTACAGGATGATCATGCATTGTCCATCAATTCATCAGTCATTTCCACCTTTTGGTGATTGTGAATTATGCCACTATGAATGTTTCTGCGCAGCATTCATAGTGTAGTGTTTTGTTTGAAGACTAGCTTAAAATTCTTTTGGGTCTATATCCAGGAGAGGAATTGATGGGTCATGCTATAGGTTGGATCTGGAAAGTCCCCCAAAGGCCCATGTCTTCAAGGCTTGGTCCTCGGCCTGTGGCGCTCTTGTGGTTTGGTGGAGACCTTTAAGGGGTTGTATCTAGTGGGAAGTCTTAGGTCATGGGGATGTGCCCTTAAAGGGGACTATGGACCCTAGTCTCATTCTCTCTTTTGATCCCTGGCTGCCCTACGCTTTGTTCCACCATCTGCACAAGATACTGCCTTACCACAAACCCAAAAGCACTGGGCCAGTCGACCATGGACTGAAACCTCTAAAACTGTAAGCCAAATAATCTTTTCTCTCTTTAATTGATTATCTTGGTTATTGTATTACAGTAAAGGAAGAGTGACTAACACAGGTCATAAGTTTTATATTGAAATCATTGAAGAACCTAATGCATCACTAAAATATTTAAATAACTAGACAAAATCATCTTACCAATGGGGGAAAAAATAGCCATTAACTGCAGAGCAGAGACAGCAAATACATCCATTGGAAAAGCTAAATATTAGGGCATTTGTGTACTCTGGTATGTGTGTACTTTAGCATGCATGCGCTCTAGAAGGACGGGGAGAGAAAACAAGCAGGATGAGACAGAGTGAGCACTGCCACCCCTGAGCATGAGAACCCATGTGTCTCACAGAAACAACAATGACTCCTGGACCGTGAAGGCTCCCATATCTTGGGGAACCAGTTCAATAGCGAGGAGAGGAAAACTGCACGGAGAAATGTGATCATACTAACATGATTAACAAGACTCTCCCCTGTGATTCACAAGGATGGCAAGAATATGCTCATTTAACTTTGAGGGAATCTCCCGAAGTATTTCATGTCCACTGATGCCACGTCAATCGAAAATAGTTACCTTATTTTTGAAATTGCAATTTCCCTTTCTTGTCTGTAAGATGTCAGTTCATTTAGCAGGCATTTTTTTTTTCTGTTCCTTTCTGAGCAGCAGGGGATTACTTTTGAGGTGGGCACTGATGCGAACATTTCTCTTGCAGTGGGGCATAGAGCACAGACTGTCAGCTGTGCCTGCTGGGCAGGCTCAGTGGGGCCGAGGACTGTAGCTCTCCAATTCTCAGGCACCATGGGCAGTATGCAGTCTACCTTGCCAACTTCCTAAGTCATGCCCAACAAGAAAGGGAACCCCTAAGTCTTCATCTGATACCTTTTTTTCCCCACCAGATTATTATGCTTATTTTACAAAATGAGCAAAGGGGTATTAATGAGTGATACTCCCCAACTTGTCACCTATGGCAGCCTGTGTAGCATTACTCAATCAGGCACCTTATGCCTAAAGTACCATGGACTTATGGTTCCTAAATGCACCATGAAATCATGCTCTCTCCTGAGCATGTGCAAACAGTGTCCTCTCTCTAGGCCACTGTGACCCCACCTTCTACTCCCTCCCATCAATGCCCCAAACACTCCAGTCATTAAGACATTGTCATGTGCGGCGGCTAACTTCTCACTCATCTCTCAGGAGTGTGCTTGGAGGAGGGTGGTGAGGGACCTTGCTTCTTACTCTGCAGCCTCTGGTGCCTGCAAGGTGCCTGCCGTGCAAGGGCAGTGTGGGCACATTTGCTGAACTGAGCAGGAACTTGAGACCCGTGCAGCACCTGCCTCCTCCCATTGCTGGCTCTTCCATCTTTTTAAAACCTAAAGGGATGTGATTTCTCCCCCATCCGCCTTTATAACAATCCACTCCCTTTCTCTCAAGTCAGAAAAATGGTACTTACCTGTGATTAAAAGAGGACACAAGGCTCCTCTCTCTGACAGGCAGTCCCACAGCCAGAAGAGGGAACTCTGTCCAGGCTGGTGCTGAAAGCCCTCTGCCCTGAGCAGAGCAGGCTGGAGCACCTCTGCTTCTCTGAATCAAGGCCCCTCTGAGAGGACAGGGCCACTGAACTTGGTCCCCGATTCCTGGTCTCAAGCTAGCCCTGGACTCTGATGACTTTTCATTAGGGTGCTCAGGTGATCGAGACGGGGTCCTTACTTAGGCAATAGGGTAGGCACACATCCAACTCTCACCCCATACTGTTGAATGTGCTGCCTCCTGCCACCCCTTGTCCAGTCTGGCTGGCTCAGCACTGCACAAGGATTGGCTCAGTTTAACCAGTGAGCAGCAACAGTGTGGTCGTACCCCACCCTCGCTTTTCTCTCACTTCCCTGCTGTTTCAGCCTCAGTCTCCTCCTCTCTTCTCAGGGCTGAACAGATGAGCTGAGTTAAAGCCTCTCTTGGAGCCTGACCACACTGTTCAATCAGCAGGAGGCCTTCTCCTGGCTGAGTCTCAACCTAGACTGTACACCAGAATCACCTGGCAGCTCTCAAAAATAGTGACATCTGGGTCCCACCCTGGATATTTTGATGAGAGGCAGTGTGGAGTTCAGGATTTTTAAAAGCTCCTAGGTCATTCCAGTAGGTAGCCAGCCATGGTTGAGAACCATTGGCCTAAGGATGTTTTCCATTGCATGATTTGTCAGAATTCTGAATTGGGGGGAATTGTATTTCTTTCCCAGTTCAGTCCCTGTATCCCATTTCAGTGTTGTTTGGGGGCGTTTAGCTCCCTAGCCAAAAGTCCCAGGAGGAAAGGGATATGTGGTAAATTTAGGCATCCAAATCTGATGCCAGTTAACCCTGGTGTTGTGCAAAAAACAAAAATAAAAACAAAATCTCCAAATGAACTCTTATGTGCAAGGACAAATACATGTTCTGATTAGGTATGAACACACTGTATCCTTGCAGCAGGACAGTAAAATCATGACATCACCCTTCAGGCAGTCTCTGGTCAATCAATGCACACCGAGCACCTACTTTAGCAGTGTCAGGAAAAGCCAGAAGTCTTGTCAAGGTAGTACTTACTTCGGGGGACCTTGCTGGGGTAAATCTTCTGGCATGGTTTGTATTCATCCGGAGGGGGAAAGTCTTCCACAGAATGGAACGTGAATTTAGACTCGAAGTCATCTGCACATGTGGGAAATGGTACAGTTTAGGTGGGTTACAGGCAGGCCCCAAGTTGGATTGCTCCAGGAGAACACATGTCACTCTAAGCAAATGCACTGTGTTCTGCTTGCCTGCTCTGTGCAAAGGTGTTGATGGAAGGGCTATTCCCCCCAAGACATCCATCCACCTTTCAAGTTTTACTGCTTGGCTGGGAGGAGGGAAAGTAGAGTGAGATCAGCAGTGATTTCCCATCACCCACCAAACTGACTCCAACCAACATCTTAAGGAAGCTCCTAAGGGGGCATAAGTGAACTCCTGGGGAGAGAAGAGGAGTGGTCCTGTCTCCCTTTCCTGGGCTGACTCCTGCCTTTGAGCTGGGTCTTGTTTCTGACCATAGCCTAGCACACAGAAGGGGGGCAGTGGTGTTGCAATCACATCCAACTCCAAGTGCCTTTAACTTCCTACCTCCATAGTTTTGCTCCAATTGTCCCCTTACCTCGTGGGCCTTCCACCCACTCCTTGCCCTTATCCAAATCACTCTGGTCTCTCTGGCACTCTGGTCTCTCAGTCTCCATAAAGAGAGACAGACATACACACAAAGAGAGAATTCAAATGCTGGTTTTCTTTTGATTCTCTAATCTGAGTCAGAAGTCTAAGAATAGGCCCTGGAACCATCCAGAAAGTGGTGAAAGAAACCCTATTTCACAGGCTCTGTAGGCTGTCCTGTATTTGTGTGAGCCCACAGTTCACTGGGAAGCATGTAAGCTCTCTCCAGGGGCCAGGAGAAATCACTTCCTTACTGGCACAGCCCCCCAGGTGTGCACCTACTTACCGGTGATGTGCACGCTTCCATTCCGCAACTGACCTCCGGGCTGCTGGGTGGGGGTCCAGGCAGGGTTCTGCTGGCTCTTGCTTGAAAGCTCTGTGGTGGGTGATCTTGCAGGAGGTGCTGGAGGTGGATTTAGCTTTCCCCCACTGGTCCCTTATGGGGAAGATGACAGGGTATTCAGAGTTAGGAATGGGGATAGTGATGTTATAACTTTATGTGAGAGATTAGACATTTAGATCTCTGGATATAATATGATATAGTGATTAAAAGGGCAACTGCTTGAGCCAAACTGAGAATGAATCACAGTTCTCTCATTGGGACAAATAATAGTTCTTTGTGTCTTAGTTTTCTTACCCGAAAATGGGAATACTAGGACACATACCTCCTAAGGTTGAGAGGACTAAATGAGTTGATTTCAGTCAAGTGGTATACAGTAAGTGCTTTATAGTTGTGATAATATTAATGATGACCCTCATTATAAGATGGTACAGCCCTCTGGGAATGGTAGGGCATGCCTGTAATCCCAGTGGCTTGAGAGGCTGAGTCAGGAGGATTGTGAGTTCAAAGCCAGCCTCAGGAAAAGCAAGGTGTTAAGCAACTCAGCAAAACCCTGTCTCTAAATAAAATATAAAATAGGACTGGAGATGTGGCTCAGTGGTTGAGTGCCCCTGAGTTCAATCCCAAGTAACTCCCCCCCAAGAAAGATGGTACAGCCCAAGGAATGGCCCCACTGCAGAGTGATAGGAACAGCAAAGGTAGTTGCTAGGTGAGGGCCCAGAGGGAGGCCAGAAGAATGGGTCGTAGGGGCATATTCCTACCCCAAATTCTGCTCCCACTGAGTTCTGCCCTCACCAGCTCTTCTGCACTGCAATCTGATTATTCTCCTTCAGGTCCAACCTAGATCCTTCCCGACCACTAAGGCCCAACTCAAATCCAACCTACACCCTCAAGCCTTCCCTGGTCAATGGCCAGAGGCTCCTCCCTCCTCTCCCTGTGCTATTCTATGGGACCCTTGGCAGCTGACAGCCCAGTGACCTGGCTCCTCACTACAGGTACCCCACTGCTGCTTATTTCCCCAATGACATTGCCACCATCACTCTGCCAGTACACCACCGTTCCCTGTGCTAGTTGCTTACAATTACAACTTCTTTCCCTTCTCCCAAGTTGAGCTGAAGTAGAAGTTACCCCCATTTTATAAGTGAAATCAAGTTCACGTCCAAAGACACCAAGGGAGAGGCCAGGCAAGCCTTCTGGAGCAGGTATGGGTTCCAGCAGCAGCAGCAGCAGCAGCAGCAGCAGAGTGGTGCCCTTCCAGCTCCTGCTTTCCCTGCAGGGTCGGCCCAAAGGGTCTGTCCCAGGCTTCTTTCTCTCACTCTTCTCTTCCTAGGCACCTAGGAGTTATTTGATCCCACAAGGAGACTAAAGGGCTAAAGAGACTGCTGATCCTCCTCTGGATGGGAACTTGCCCCTCCTTGTCAGAAAGGAGAAGGAAGGAATGAAAAAACAGGCTGCCGCCCCAGCTATGCGCAGGCCCTCACCGCATAGTCACAGCAATGCCCTGTGAAAGGTGCTGTCATTATTCCTACTTGTCAGAGTTAAAAAAAAAAAAAAAAGTCAAGATAAAACAAAACAAAAAACCCAAGTAACTGGCATCTGATTACACAGGAGTGTGTAGGGAACCCAGGATCTGAACTCAAATCTCTCCAAATCCAAGACATGTTTTTCTTCCCACTCCACCACGGACATTTAAAATCACAGATACCAGAGGGGCTCAATGCTAGGCCTCCTGGTGACCAGTCAGTTGAAAGAAGAAAGACTAAAACCTTATCTCTGCTGATCAACAGTCTTAAAAATATCCTTGCCCTTTGTGCTAGGAATTCTCTCTTAGTAATCTATCCTCTAAAAAATATCCAAAATAGGGCTGAGGTTGTGGCTCAGTGGTAGAGCGCTTGCCTTGCTTGTGTGAACCACTGAGTTTGTTCGTCAGCACCACATAAGAAAAAAAAATTAATTAAAAAAATAAAAAATATCCAAAGTATAGACTAAAATCCTACACTGTTATTCATAATAACAAAAACAGGGAATCAACTTAAATGTCTGTACCCATTATCATTTTTAATTTACTTATACATTTTAATAATTTGACAAAACTGCTTTTAATATAGTATTAAATAAAAATACAAAATTGTAAGTACAAAGTGGTATTAAGCATGTAAACGTACATGTATTCAGAAAAAAATGAAAATGACATCCAAATGACAGTTTTCATCTCTAGGCGACATTATTTCTATTTGCTCCACAATAAGCTGGCATTGTTTTTAATTTAAGGAAATACATTTAAGAAACTCTCTGCATCAAAAGATTTACTGGCAGAAAAAAAATAGATGCATGAATATGTGTGTGGGGGGAGTTGTATATGTGTTAATTGTGTATGTATATGGGTGTGTGTATGGAGTATGCATTTATTAGGATGTTTTTGTGTAAGGTTGAGAGAGGGTGTGTAGTTGTGTTTGAGTTGTGTGTGTAAATGCAGGAGTGTGTGGATGTGTGGTGGTACCTTTTGTGTGGAAAGGCGTCAACCGTGCATGAAGTCTACCACTACAGGGACCAGTGAAGTAAGTCATGACCTCAATTCACAATCCTCTCTGCTCTGTACTGAAGAATTATTTTTGCTTTTTGGCTAAAGATACAGGCCCTGTTTTCTCCAGTCAGCTGACAACCTGCCAAAAGGCAGAATGTGAATCCAATCTGCTGAGGGCCAGTGAAGATTCAGGCTGGGAGCCAGACTGGAATAACTCAGGAGAAGACTAAACCAGAGACCTGGGTTGGAGAAACAAGCCCCTCCCGAGGAGTAGATCTGTCCATAGTAAAAACAAAACTCTTCTCTAGAGCTCACTTGCTATTCCCTGTTCCAAGCACAACACATACAAGGCCTCCACCTTTACAACAACCCCAGGAGGTAGAAAGATTGCTGTCCTCATCTTACAGAGAAGGACGCACAGACAGCTAAGTGGTTGTCCAGGGTCCCAGCCAGTGATGGCAAGAGGATCATGGCCAGAATCCCTCTCTTACCTTCTGCAGGATCTGGGACAAGTTTCCCTGTCCCCCTGGCCCTTGGTTTGCGTCTCTAAAATGAAAACTTCCAACAATAAAGTCCCATAGAGGGACAAGGTTCTACCCAGAGGCACTGAGTAGCCCTGGACTAAAACAAGATTCTGAGATTGGAGCCATCCCACGGTTCACAGGGCTAGGCAGACTGGGCTGCTTTACCTGGGCCTCTGCAGATCCTCCTCTTCTGTAGGAGCGGCTGAGGTCCCAGAGGGCCAGGTGGTGCGGGCAAGCCCTGCGCGCTCGCCTTCTGCTGTTGGGCCTGGAAGCTGGGGGACTTGGGGGGCAGCGGGGGAGGGGTTTCGCTGCTGTTGTTAGCGCCGGGCAAGGGAGGCGCTGGCACCGAAGCCCTGGGCGAACAGGAAGCATACAGGGGGAGTGGGGGCGGCGGAGGGGGCGGAGGGGGCGGCGGCGGCGGGGCGGGAGGCTCTGGCACCTCTTGCGCGGGGCTGGCGGGCTCCTCATTGAGTCCTGGATACCCACAGGGTGGGAGGAGAGGGAGCGGGGGCGGGATGGGCGGGAGGTGCAAGGGGGCCAGCTGAGGCCTCACTGCCTTGTCACTGAGTAGGGAGGCCGGGGGCAGAGGGGGTGGGGTCGGAGGAAGCGGCGGAGGTGGAGGCGGAGGAGGGCAGGGGACAGTGGGTGCAATGGCAGGAGAGCTCCCTTTGGTCGGTAGGCCAGGTGGGGAAACCAGCGAGGCCTTGGTGGGGGAAGACGGTGGTAGAGGTGGAGGTAGGGGCGGAGGGGGTGGAGGTGGGGCGGGCACATTGGGGTGAGGAGGGACTATCCTGGCAGCGCCTTGGGCCTCAGAGGCATTGCCTAGCCTGGGAGACGCAGGGGGGTTAAGTGGGCCACTAATGGTTTTGGTGGGAAGCCGGGGAGAAGGCGCTCGTGAACCAGGGGCCTGCCCTGTCTTGCCACCTAGAAATGAAACAAATTCTGGGTTAGCTCAACAACAACAGAGAAAGGAAGAAGCTAAAGCGAGTGGGTGGCACTTGGGACCAGCTGGATGAGCGCCAAGGTCCTTCTGAGCATCAAGGAGCTGTCCCTCCAGACAAGCCCAGGTCAGACCCTAATCTTACTATTCTGTTCTCACCTGCCAATAGCCTTCTCATGTCCAGCCCAGGACTCAGGACTGCTCTTACCTGTGCCCTTCCTCATCTCAAGACCCCTCACATTCATTCACCATTATCTGCCAGGTGCAGTTGGCCTTATGCTCTAGTTTGGATCCTTAGGTATACCAAGCCCAAACACCTGGCTAGGGGGGTTTTCCTCTCTGCTAGCATTTTATGAACAAGGACATCCTTTGTTTCTATATTGCAAACATAAAATTCACGATTCCCTGAATACATAAGGGAAATCAGCAGGGAAACACTTATCCTCCACATTCCAGGTCCAATGACCTTGAACCTCCTAGTTACATGGCCTCTAGAAGTTCAAAGACCTTTTTCCCAAAAACTTACTCTTATTTTCAAAGGGCTGGCTTTTTCCTGATCTCTGAATTTCTCATCCTCTATATGTCTCCTTCATCACATCATTTTTTAAAAAAAATATTTATTTTTTAGTTGTAGTTGGACACAGTACTTTTATTTTATTTATTTATTTTCATGTGGTGCTGAGTATCGAACCCCAGGGCCTCATACATGCTAGGCAAGCGTTCTACGGCTGAGCCACAACCCCAGCCCAACCACATCATTGAAATCCAATAACTCTTAAACTCAGGGGTAACAACAAATTGCTCCTTTATGGAGGACTGGGGTGGACATGGGGTCCTTGGAGGGAGCTCTGACTCTTGATATAACCTTGCACCACAGTGCTGATTCTCTTCTTCCCGCTCCCTTGCCTCTTGCTAAGGAGAAAAAAAATTTCCTCTTCCTGCTTAATGAAGTTCTGCAATCATTGTTTAAATATGATTTCAAGAGAGGTCACTGTCAGAGGAAATGTCACTCTCCTTTCAGAAGGCATATTCAAATAGTTCTTCCAAATTTAGTCCTCCCTTAAAGGCGTTCTGGGGAACACACTTTCTCCTATTTCACTATCCCTTTATTTTATATGGCAATATGTGGAAAACACTTGAAAAAAATGCTTGCTTCTCACACATACAACTTCCTGGGTGCGGCAGCATAGGGGCAGTTTTTGTTTCAGATTATAAACCCCAGTGTCTATTGAGGGGGTTCTGGAGCTTTTCATCCCATATGAATCTCCAGTGTTTCCCCAAATGGGTACAAGTCATTCCTGAAGGACTTGATGTCAAAAGCCAGGCCAAAGGCATAGAAGTGCCTCTGGGGGAAGAAGATCAGTGGGCAGGAGTATGGTGTCTGGGTTTTTGCACTGGTGGCCCTCTGGCTATGATGTGACAGTCACCTGGGCAATACTACTAGAGCTTGGTTGTTCTTAAGGCAGGTGGTGTTGTCATCCCTCTATTGAAGATTTTCTTTGAGGAGATTCTAGAAGACATATCTTTATGGTGAGGAATTAACTTAACTTTCAGGGGCCAGAACAGCTGGCTGCCTATGCCCAGGATTAGAAAGCCCCTACCTGGTCTTTCCAGGGACAAGATCTATATTTTATATGATGTCTAGGTCAGGGATCAGCACAGAAAATCCAGCCTAAAAGTTCTGAAACCTCTTCCCATAGTTGACAGAGATGATGACAGAAAACCCAGGCAGCTCCCTAAATAAGTCAGGGTCTACCTAGATGCCCAGTTGCCAAGTGAAATTTAAAAGAATCATAAATTTAAAGAGCAGAACAGAGCCTACTCTTGAATAACCAATCCAAACTTTTTAAATGATTGAAAACATCGTGAATCCAAGATTCAAAAACCCTGAAAGTGAGTCTGTTAAGAGTTCAAAAATCCTCTGCTTCCTGCTCACGTGGTGGAAGATCAGGTACCAGGAATATTTGGAGCCTGACAGTCGCGGGTCAGTGATATCCCTGGAGTTTATTCGTCTTGTTGGCTAAAGAGCACAATAGTAGGAAAACACTTTTTTTTTCTTTATATATATATATATATATATATGCCCAATTTGAACGCAAAAGTTTTAAAACATCCATTGCCCGCTAAAGCACACATAACTGCAATGGACTGATTGTAATAATGGCCTCAATTACCCTCTCATGCCTAATTCTGTAATCTTTGAATATGATTGACTATTAACATAACCTTTTAATATGACTGAATATGATATCAAGAGATGAAGTCTATTTCCACATCTTTGTCACTTGCTTTGGATGTGATAGGAATTAACACTTCCTAGCCTTCCAAGTTACTTCTCAGTAGCTTCCAAGACTAAGCCTCAAGGGACTTTATACACCTCTTCCTTTTATTTTGGAGCCTTGCCACCACCATGATAACAAGCCCTTGAGCAGCCTGCTGGAGACTGAGAGACCACGTGGACCTGAGGTGAATCAAGCCAGTGGTTACAGCTGAGCCTCAGAGACAGGAAAAACAGGAGAAATCTAAGATAAAGGAAAGCCACCTACCTAACCTGCAGGTTTGCAGATGCTGAGGGAGTAGAGCTGAGATCATTCCACATTGCTAACCCACAGAATTATAGGCTAAATAATAAATGGTCATTTAAAACTCTTTAAGTTTCTGTGTTCTGTTATATCGCAACACCTAATTGATACAATGAATGAAAACCATTACAACTCATGCATCTCTAGTGAGTCCATAGTGATGTCATTATGATGATCTATTATGATTTACATCTTCTGTCTGGGCAACCATTACGCCAATGCTAAATAATACAAATTGCTCTTCAATTATTAATTGAATAATTTAGTTAGGATGATGATTTGAAAGATTCCTCACGAACAGTTCTGTGCTTTAGAAACTTCCAGTGTTTAAGTTTCCAAATACATGATCTCTAATATGACTGTTTATAAAACACATGTTCCTGGGCACATGTGGAACCAACTGGGCACATGTGGATTGCCCAGTTGGTTCCACGAGTTAAGGAGATTGAGACTATGATGTAGCTGGTCCAAACTTTTCCTTACCTGCTACATCCCTCTGGCCTGCTGGTCGCAACACAGGAAAGCCACCAGCGAAGAGATCTCCCAGGACTGGGGGTGTGTTTCCTCCTCGGGAGTTGGCAGAGCCTCCCCCTTCTTTGTTGCTTGCTTTCGAACCTTCAAAGAGAAGAGCAAGTGGTGAAGATGAGTGAGCAGAGCCGAGCAGTTCCTTCTCACTCTGGGGTTTGACACCGTCTCAGCAGTGTCCCATTGTCCTCTTTCCAGTGTCGCCCTTGCACTCAGCATCTTCCCCAGGTGCCCTCTGCCTTGGTACTCCGCAGACTCATGTGCCTACATATGTCTGCTGCCCTCTCCAGCCCTGTCACAGAGCTAACCATTTGTGGCTAACCACCTGGAAATTGACCAAACAAAGGGACCTGAATACTACCCATTTGCTGGATGCTGATGGGGAATCAGCAG